TTTTACAATTTTATACAATTGTATATAATTATTAAACAATTTATTTAATATAAAAAATTTCAGTAAAAGACCAAGTGATACCTTTTTCTTCTAAATGTGGTACTTCAATGAATCTGCATGTAAATACGCATGCGCGAGAAAGTGTCCCGATAGCAACACTGTGCGCATACTTCAATCTTCAAATGTACGTACTTAAAAAAGAGTGTGGAGGTTAAGTTGAGTCGTTTACACGTGTGTAGCCGTCTAGTGGAAAAATGGCTGGAAAAAGTTTAGCTGACACAATAAATACTTTAATTACGACCAAACCGGACTTCGGTTCAGATGAAGAATCGGAGGATACGAAGGCAAAAGTAGTAGAACCTTATAATGAGAGCGATGCCTCGGACAATGAATTCCGGACGTCTAAAATTCGCAAACAGAATATCGATACCTTGGATAAAGTGGATAAAAGGTAACATATTTTATGCGTATTTGCATGTGAAAAAAATATGAAAAATGTATGAAATTTTAAAAACCTTATAATTTATTTATATCGTCTATTATTGCAGATATGCTGGTAAAAAGGTTTCGAGGAAAGATATATACAGCGAAGATGAAGACAATGACATGAGTGAAGATGTTGAAAATGAAGAGATAGATGATACATTGGAGCAAAGTGATGATTCATATAGCGATGATGAAATAGATTCAGAATTGGATCCTGCAGATTCAAAACAAGGATCAGAAGATATATCTGATTCAGAGGAACAAGATGGTTATGACGGGGACATCAGTAATCCAGTTTACAAACAAAAAGAGTTTACTATTAAAACGATGTCTGAGACAAATGTTAAAGCTGAGATAGAGAAAGGCAATTGTGTTAAAAATCAGCTGAAGTTGTGGGAAAATTTTCTAGAAATGCGAATAAAGTTACAGAAATGTATTGTAATTAGTAATCAAATGCCACAATATGACACACATAAGGAACTCAGATCAAATATAGATTTTGTGAAGAAAGTTGATGAAACTAAAAGCAAACTGACCTTGATCATTGATAATATGATACTATTAAAAGATCTGTTGTTGAAACAATATCCTGAAACAAAATGTTTGTGTATTGATTCTAAGATGAAAAAGATTGACGAGAATAAAAATAAAAATATAAATATGGATGATTCAATAGATGAAGAAATACCTTCTGATACTGAAGATGAATTAGAAAATGGAAAGAATTCATCCAGCAATGAAGATATAGGAACAGTTGAAGAACCAGTGCCTCGGAAACGTTTGAAATATAACAACATCCAGAAAGTTTTACAAGAAAATCATGATTCCTACAAAGCGTATAGGGACTCTGTTATAAAAAAGTGGAACGACAAAACGCGAATTGCCATAAGCTCACTGAAGGGATCTGGTCAAACTACTTTGAAACAAATTGAATTTGCTATGAGCGATATGAACAAGCTACGAAAGAAAACTCAACTGAAACGTTCTGAGTACAATATTATTGGCAAATCTTCGTCGAGTGAAAACAATGACGGCAAAAAAATTCAAGAGAATGATCCAGAAATTTATGACGACGACGATTTTTATCATCAGCTGTTGAGAGATCTAATAGAATATAAATCATCAGACGTAACAGATCCCATACAACTCAGTAAACAATGGATTCAGCTACAGAATATGCGTAGAAAAATGAAGAGAAAAGTCGATACTCGCGCGACGAAGGGTAGAAGAGTGCGATACAATATTCACAATAAATTAGTTAATTTCATGGCACCCATTACAGTATACAACACGTGGACAGACAATGCGAAAAACGAACTCTACAATTCACTATTCGGTAAAATAAAACCGACGGAAGAGCAAATAAAGCAGTAATTGTATACAAAGTATAGCATGTAATTTTACTATTATTAATTTTACTATTAAAATAAATTACAAATATATTAGAGTAATATCAGAGAATATATTAGAATTTATATATCGTGTATATATTGATAAATAAATTTTATTATGTATCTGTCTCCATAATTGTGAATAATTCATCTTACCTTTTTAGCAAATATAATATATCTGTTATACAACTTTTCAAAAGGCTATGTATTATAAACGTGATATAATTTTAGAATAAAAACATTTCTTGCATTTCCGTGTTTCGTTACATTTATTTTTCAGAAAACAGAAAGTAGAATTTTTTGAGGAATCCATTACAGTATGAAGAAAAATATGCTCAAGACAAAAAATATTAAGAGTTTAGAATAAATAGATCAAGGATTTTTGAAATAAAAAACAATAGAAAAAGGCAAGTGAAAATTAAATGTGTGATAATGCATAAAAATTATAATTTAAAATAATATTAAAAATCTGTAAGCATACAATAAATTGGTTTCCATTTTAATTTCATTTCATGTCTACAATATCATATTGTTAATTATAATTTTGATGCATTTATTATCGCTATATATCCTAATCAGCATTACTAATATGACTTTGCATAA